CTGGCAAGCAGCAAGTGAGGATCCAACTCATGGTGGCAGCTGGAGGTGCTCATAGATGAGGCCTCTGAGATGTCATCACAGCAACAGTCTGAAGGTTGGAATGGACAGCACCAGTTGCTGGACTAGATGGCAATGGAGGCATCCGCATGGGAATGATCAGAGCAGTTAATAGCTCTCTTTTTTTAAAGTTTTTTTTTTTCTTTATATTATTTATTTATTTATTTTTGCATAGAAGAACTGGGTGTGGAGTGCGGGGGGTTGGTGAGAGGATTCTAGAGAGACAGAGTGGGGAGCAGAACAGGCAGCTCTACTGAAATACACTGCTGAGGGGAGCAGCGGGTGAGAAAAGAGAGGTCTGCTGTGCCATGTGGGTTAGCTCCCTGGCCAGGGACCAAGCTCAGGCCATCAGAGTGGGCCTTTGCGGTGGTAGTGCTGAGACTTAAACCCTCGGCCACTAGGGAGGCCCAGTTAACAGCTCTTAAAAGTGACCCGGACACAGTCTCTTTTTCCTTTGGAGGGTGGCTGCTAATTCTTCTTCTTTCTTCATTGAGGCCAGGAGTAGAATTCTTCTTCTTTCTTCGGAGGCCAGAACAGAGTATCTTAAGTTGACTCTTGCACTGCCTTATATCCTCTGTCAGACTCTCTCGCCCTACCTGCCAGACTGGACCATTTTCAATTCTAAGTAGTTGATTGGTCCATTTTAGGACCAATCAGCCCTTTTAGTGCTGCGTAATTAACTAATTAGCTGGTGAACATAATTGGTTTGTTTTGTTTGCATCTATTGATCCATTCACTGATCAGGCACAAAATTATAAAAAGGAAAATTTCTTGCTCCACAACTCACATGCTGAGGGGCCCCAGGTTTCAAGCTGTCTGTTGCATATGCCATACCTATTGCCTGGATGTTCTACCCAACCTTCTCTCCTCTAATTCCCAATTAAGCTGGACTTTCCTTTCCAATTTAACATAGCTAATGAAACTTTATCTACTTCCTCAGAAGTTATTTTTTCCTCTTTTCCTCTGACCCCATAACAATTTGTCAAAGTCTCATTTCAGTACCCACCACCAGAGCTAATTCTGTGAGCCGTAGATAATGATCACTGCCATTAGGAAAAATAAATCTTACGTGTGACGCACTGTTGCAAGCCAGGCATGAATTTAAGTAAATGTTGTATGAATTATCTCATTTTATGTTCAAAACAACCCAGTTGGGTACTATGTTATCTTCATTTGAATAACTGAAGCACAGAGTAATAAAGTGACTTGCCACAGATAAGTTAAGGTCAGAAACCAGAATTGAAAATGATTTGCACCCAGGCAGTCTGGAGCCTGGACTATGATGATGGCACGGCCTCTCCAGTTGGATTCTTTGTCAGGATAGCACCACCTGAGTGCCTCTCTTCCTGTCTCTCATTTTGAGTCTGTGGTCTGGGATTGGCAATGGAAAGACTCAAATATGATTCTCGGGGTAAGGAGAAATTTGGGTATTGTTGAATTTCCTCTGGAAAAAAAATTGTTTTAAGGATTTATTTATTTATGCATACAAGAACTGGGGTACAGGCCAGAGATGTGGGGGGTGAGAGGACTCACCAGAGACAGAGTGGGGAACAGAACAGGCAGATTGAAATACACTGCTGAGGGGAGCAGCGGGCGAGTCAGGAGAGGTCTGCTGCGCCATGTGGGTATCTCCCTAGCCAGGGATTGAATTCGTGCTGCAGTGGCTGTGGATAGCTTCATAGGTTGTGTCTTAACCCCTTGGGCCACAAGGGAGGGTCTCCTCGGAAATTTTTACAATTACCCATAAGAACTCTGAAACTTTGGAGGGCAGGCTTGCATCCTATCCTTGTTTGGGATATAACAAGGGATTCATAATGTTATGAAATGTTGAAGCAGTAGATGTCTTATCTGGATATTCTATCACTATACTTTGTATTCCATAATGCTTGCTTTAAAACATCAGCTGCAAGATGGTATTTAATGAATTGGCATAAAAGGAGTATAATCATTTGTTGTATCTTTCTTATCTCTACCCTCCTCTGAAGTTTAATGACATCAGGTAGTCTAAATCATATTTGTATCTTAATCTGCCCCCAAAGAATGCCAGGTATATGAAAGATACCCAAAATATTTGATGAGTGAAACACACAGTTTTAATTTTCTCAGGCACTTCAGTATCACATCACTAGTATAAAATAATGCACATCACAGAGTCAGATTATTGATGCTCATAAGGAGACAATCAGGGGCCACACGATTTTGACGTGCTTGCCTCCTTTTTGAGGAAAGAGTAAATTATGTTCTATTGTATAAGCAGCATGAGGATGTTATAGTTTTGCCCTTTGGTATTTGTCAATTATCATACGTATTTAAAATGAAGACTATTCGTAATGTAAAATCCCAGGCCTGTATCATTCCAGGTAACAATTTATTGTGTTAAATTAGAATTTCATTGTTTAACATCATTAGAAAATTAACTTCTATATCAATTCATTAACTTTTAATTAGAGATCTAGTCATAATCTATTATCCTGGTACATTGGGTTGGCTTTACAAAAACAAAGACATAAAGAATTACTTCTCACTGTAAATGTTTAGTTCTGACAAAAGCTGTATTGGGCCAAGTTTAGGGGACATTTGGAATCTATAATATATATACATGTGTGGGTATATATATATATATATATATATATAAAATATTTCAGACAGTCAACTAAAATAACAGCCCTGATCATTTCTCCCAACTCCAAATACGTGTGAAATTGTTTGCAGTTTCAGAGTTAGATTCACTGTGAATCTGACAAAGCTGAAGTGTCAGCATTCATGCTGCCTTTTCACAGGCTTCTCCCATGGCTCAAAGAAGAGTGTTCACAACATCATATATTTTTGTAAACTGCATAAAATATTTTAACAAAAATATGGAAAGGCTGATGTTTCTCTCCCCTTCAACTCTCCATCTGTCATACTTTCCCACCTGTCCAATGGCTTTGGCAGGACCATGAACATTGCTGGGATCAGCACAGGGAAAGCTGAACACAAAGACTCGGAAGATACATTTGTTTGGGATGAGGGGTATCTAGTTATTTATCCACCCCAATTCAAAGTTATTGCCAGCAGCTCTAACCTAGGAATGACTTTCAGAAATACTCCTAATACTCCTTCTACACACTTTACTGGCTTCCCTGGCATCTAGAAATGATGAAATGGGGTCAGAGATTTTATCTGAACTAATCAGTTAGTGGATAATAGAGAAGAAGCTAACCTATGGAAAATTCCATCTCTTCTATTCCGGTTTTTTTTAATGATATAAATTGGATTCCTTGCTGAGACCTCCTACAGAGGAAGATATATGTTTACCTATTACTATCAGTACCCTCCACTAGCAGAGAGTCTTCCACCCTAAGGCACTTCTCTGAGGTAGTTGGAGTCATTAAAATATGAATTTAGGATTTTAAAAGTAAATTTTTTAAAACTTTTTTTAAAAGTAAATTTTAAAAGTTATCAGATCCAGGCCCTCCCCGGTGGCACAGTGGGTTGAGCGCAGCACTGTGAAGCTGACCACAGCCTCCTCAGCACCGGTTTGATTCCCGGCAGGCCAGGGAGAATCCCACATGGCGAGCAGACCTCTCCTATCTCGCCTGCTGCTCCACTCAGCAGAGCTTTTGTTCCTTCTGCCTGTTCTGTTCCCTGCTCTGAACCCTCTCACTCTCCCACGACTCTGGCCTGTATCCCAGCTCTTGTATTAAGAAAAATAAATCTTTAAAAAAAAAAGTTATCAGATCCATGCTCTGCTGCTGTCACTGGGGCTGTAAAGTTTTCAAGACTGAGTGTGTCACATGGGGCTAGATCACAGATGCTGTTTTTGTGTAAAAAGGTATTAAATACTCATAGGCATGTGATGTACTAGTTCTATTCCTTATCCTAATCTGGGTCTCATAATACATATTTGTGGAAGTCATGGTATCCAATCTTTCCTCCACATCCCATTAAGGTCATTGCAAAGAGAAATCCTTACTAAGGGAATCTTGTTATTCCCGGTTTTATTTTACTGTTGTTTTTTTTTTTTTCCTTGAAGACTTAAGAATGATGTACTAGTTCAGGAATCTCTCAAGAATATAATGGAGGGCAATGAAAGAGTTTTTTACATTGGATTATTTATAGTATCATTTAAATCTATTTTTCTTCCCTCATTGGATGTGAATTTTGTTTTAAAGAACTTCTAAAACTGGGGACTATCTGGTGGCGCAGGGGGTTGAGACGCAGGCACTGCAGCACTAGATTTCGATCCCAGGCCGGGGAGGTGACCCATGTGGGGCAGCAGACCTCTCCTGGCTGGCCAGCTGCCCCCCTCAGCAGCGTATCTCAGTCAGTCTGCCTGTTCTGCTCCTCACTCTGTCTCTGGTGGATCCTCTCACCCTCTGCATCTCCAGCATACTTCTTGTATGCATAAAATAAAATAAAATAAATATTTTTTTAAAAAAGAACTACTAATATTCTGATATGAAAATATTTTAAAATTTAAAACTGATGTAAAAATTTTAAAAAAAATTTTAAATAATCGCTTCTCGGCCTTTGGCTAAGATCAAGTGTAAAATTTTAAATAAAAAATTTAAAGAAAGGTAAAAAAGTAAAGCACACAACACAGAGACAAAAGCACACACATAAACATTTCCAATTACATAAACAATCCCCAATAATCTAACATATTCCAATAATCTAGTATAAACTTAGATGTACATCTTTGAGACTGTCTTTGAGTTTTCCATTATCTCTTTCTTAAAGTAACCCAAATGCATTCTTTCGGTCCAGCCCTAACATCGCCTATCACTTTTGCGATGAGCTGTTTTGAATACAATAAATTTTTATTGTGCCATCATGGGGGGGGCAACCTATTGTGAGCAGTAGATTCCTGTTGACTAGAAACAGTAGGACGACAAACTCCTGGGATGGAAGACTGCGCATGCGTCAAGACTCAGTGGGCGCCCGCCCTTCTGCTTTTTTTCCAGCCGCCGTTTCTTCGGGCTTTCGCGCTCTAGCGACCCGGAAAGCCCAACCTAAACGTAGTTAGGCTCTGATTGGCTCCTTTGAAAGTCTACGGGCTCTCTGATTGGTGGATCCTGGACCCTTTAGCGCGGTGAGTTTGAAACTGCTCGCATTTAGTTTCAAAGCTGGCGCTGGGAAGCCGAGGGAAGAGCTACGCCAACGTGGTTGTGGCCGCCGCTCTCGCCGCGGGAGAACCAGCCAGGTGGAGTTGCCGGGGTCAGGTCAGACCGAGGGGACGTGGGCTCTGCAGGGCCCGCTCGGGCGGCGGCGGAGAGGCTCAGGGGCGGAGTGGTGAGGAGCCGGGGGATATTCGGGAGCCCGGGCTGGAAAGCCAGGCCTTCACCTCACGCCCGGGACCTGGTTGTGCGAGCGACGCTGGGCCCCGGCTTTGGTGGGAGAACAGGGGGGGCCGAGTCCTGACGGGGTCCCTCGCGTGAGGGGCCTGCCCCCGGCGGGCAGCCGGGGTTCGGAGTTGGCTTGTTTTCTGTCAGAGGCCGCCGACTCGCTCGTGAGGGGGCTCTCGTGCCAGGGTAGACGGCAGATGCGCGCACCGGTGCAGCCCCGCGGGGCGCCAGGCTCGGCCCTCGGGCGCCAGGCGCGGGAAGCGAGGCCTCACCCGGGTGCCTACCTCAGCACTAAACCCAGGCGGGCTCGAAAAACCGATCCCGTGGACTCACCTGTGGCCTGCTGGGCTGGCCTCTGCGCCCCCGGCCCTTGAGCACTTAGCTAAGTCGTAGAGCCCGGGCGAAAATGGCTTTTTTCGTTTTTATCTTAATGCTGGGTGGTTCTTATGGAATTGACAGAAAGTGGGAAGCTAAGCTCTGCCGAGAGGTCAAACGTGTGTTTTAATATCGTCCATTCGTGGTTGATGCTGAAATGATGATTGTGCGCGTTGTGCTTCCTCTAGAGGCCTGCAGGGTTCGGAGTGTAAGGTGATAGTTTACATCCTGCAGGATGCAGAAGCACCCGGAGGCATTCAAAGGCCTTCTAAAACTGCATCTTAAAATAGAACTGGAAAATGGAGGGGAGGAATTGAAACTGACTTTTGAAATCAAGTTAGTTTTTTTACTTCTTTGTTCAAAGTGAGCGCCTATTAGTAAGCATCAGGCATGTGAAATCTTGCTGGTTGTTGAGAAAAGGATAATTGTCCTTAATTGTCCACTGCCATTCATAATGGCGAGTATAGTACAATTTGTCCGTTTAAAAAAGATTTATCTCTACTTCTGAAGTGTGTTTTTTTTTTTTTTTTTGGAAGGTGAATATGAGAGTGGAACTTAATAAGGGGTTAGTTCCTCGGGGACCTTTGTCTGTGGAAATGCACCTTTTCTTTTAGGCTCCTTAGTAATATCTCTTGCTCTTGTAAACAGTGCCTTGAAAGCCTTGATCATGTTTGTGTAGGTGACTGCAAAAAGCAGAAGATTGGAACTGTCACTTGCACAACTTTACTTACATCCATTTGCTGCTTTGAACAGTTTCCAATGTGTCCACATTTTAGCTTCCTACTCATGTGTTTAAAAATTGATTCTTTTGAGTTATCTTTACTAAAATATATAGTAGCGCAAGTTCTGTCAAATAACATTTGTTGACGTATTTGAGTATGACTCTGGTACACATTGCTCCTTAGAGTTACATAAAAAGACCATCTGGCTTTTGTTTGGCAAGGATACATAAGCTGGTGCCTGGTTTGATTGGAAGCTGCACATTACACTGGTGGAGAATATACACGTATTTGCAATGTTTTAGGAACTAAGAAAGGTAGAAATGTTTTACTGCACAAGTCCTTTCTCTTGTAAGCATTGTTTTAATATAACATTTATGGAAAATTAATACTGAACTCTTGGCATTATGGAAAAATACATGTAATATCATTAATTTTTAAAGCCATCCTTTGAGTAAATTGCATATAATCAAGTCAGTTTTTCTTCCATTTTAGGATCTACCACATCCATTGATTAATTATGGAAGACTATACCAAAATAGAAAAAATTGGAGAAGGTGAGTGATTTTAATGTTTTAGATGATTTGGCAATGCTTTGTCTCTGACATGAAGACATGTAAATAATTATTAAAGTTCACCCTTTATGGTTTCCTGTAGTATTAATTTATATTAATATATGTAGTCTCTCATAGTAAACACAGAATTTTCACATTTCAAGAGAACTGAAATTATGCGGATAGTCTCCCTGACAACACTTCACTTCAATGATCTTATACTTCTAAGCAATATTCTATTTTATAAACATGATTGGTAGCTTATATATGTATTGGGGGTATAGGTTAGGGCAGTAGAATTATGTTAATTTCAAAATATACTTTTAGTCTTATACAGTTATTTTAAAATTACCTAAATTTTCTAAAGTGGCAAAATATAGGGTTATTGTTAAATAATAGAGGCATTACTATTAAAGTCATTTAAAAAATTTCCATTTAGTTACTTTAGGTTTAAATGCCCTGTCTACTGTACATGTTTTAAGTTATTCTAAAACCAATAATTTTCTTATATAATCATTCATTACCTTTCTGTATTAAAGTTTTAAACAATGTTTATATCTACAGTTAGTCCTTGATAGGTTCTTTAAGAAAATTCGTTTTTCCGTTTACCTTGTTTTGCATCAGTTCAGCATCTGGGGATTTTTTTTTTCCTCATCAACTTTATAATGATATAATCATTATTGGGGTCCTGCTGACTATGACATAATGCGGGGTTAAAATATTCTTTTGCTTTTTTTTTTCTTTTCTTCAACAGAATATCTAAGTTTCTATATAGTCATCTTGATATTAACATTGTAAACTCTCCAGGAACAAATGTTAAAACTTATGCAGCATAATTTATAAAAATCCAATTTATGAAAGTTATGTTTGAGGAGTATGTGCTGTATTTTTAGTGTGTTCCAGAATCTTACTTATACAAAGAATATTAAAAAGACCAGGGAGGAAATAAAAAGTTTGGGCACTAGTTGGATTGGAGATACACACGTGTGTGTGTGTAAACTTGGATTTTATGACTTTTTTCTTAATAAATTTGCTTAAATATTTTATTGCATTCATTTACCTAAACAGATATTGCTATTGAGTTAAAAATGAGTTTGATTTGCGTGTCTAAGTCTAATGCTGTTCTTGAGTTCCCAGAAAATTTAACGTTGATTCTAGTTTGGCACCGAAAAAGTGTGGAAATTCTTAAGTGTAAATGTATTTTTCCTTAAAAATTGTGGAGTTGTAGACATATAGGAGATGACAGATTTGACTCGTGAAATGTACTCTAACTGTTATTATAAATAGAAGCTGTTAAAAATACACTTTCAAATGTATATTACACACATAGTCACATGACCCAGTTTGATGTCTACAAATGGGACAATCATAAACCTTTAACTTCTGGATCTCAGCAAATGGGAATACTGCTTACTACAAAATTTATGATATGCAATGGAATAATGCATGGAAAGCATTATTTGAATGCTTTAACTCAAAAAACCATCACATATTAACTACTTGCTATTACTAGGACCACTCATCTCACAACTATCATCACGGTAGCCCAGTTAGCCAGCCTCATCTAATGCCACTCAACTGTAATTTAGATTTCTTCCAGGTCCTCAAATATGCCTTGCTCTTTGACCTCTGGGCCTTTGGCAGTGGTTGTTCTTTCTCCCTGGAAACTATTCTCTAATGGATCTACTTTCCAGCCCCCTCATTCTAGTCCAAGTCATTTTGTTCCTTTTCATTATTCTTAATGTTCTTTATTTTTTCTGCACTGTAAGCTACAGGAGGGTTGGGATTTTGTCTTGTTCGCAGTGTCTGGCAGTAAGGTTCAGGTGATACTTACATATTTTATTTGATAGTATTATATGTTTTGCCTTGTCTCATTTTCTGAAATCTGTTCTTTTTCTGCCTTGTATTATCTTGATTGTTCCTATGCCTGCCTGGTTTGGATTGTGTGCTAGACACTGTTTTGAAAAAATAACTTTTAGAAGTAATTTAAGGCCTAGATGACACCTTCCACGCAGTATTTTCTTTTTTGTTTTTGCCAGGTGGTGCCTGGTCAAATTCTAACAAAATACTGTCTTTTAAATGTTATATTTGATCCCTCTACTTTTTATTTTGAATATTTCCAGACCTTTAGAGAAGTTGATTTATGCAGTAAACCTGTAATACATTTTGTTAAGATGTTAGTGTTTTGGCACCTTACTTTATTATCTATGCGTGTTTTAGCATTTTAGTTTTCTTTTAATCCATTTAGAGTCAGTTGTCAGGAAATACTTCTAAATACTTGTGGACATGGGCCTCCCTGGTAGTGATAAGGGTTAAGCGTCAGCACTATGAAGCAATTTACAGCTACTGCAGCACGCGTTCGATCCCCGGCCAGGGAGGTGACCCACATGGTGCAGCAGACCTGTCCTGTTTCGCACTCTGCTCCCCTGAGCAGTGTATTTCAGTCTATTCTGTTCTGCTTCCCACTCTGTCTCAGTGAATCCTCTTCCCCCTGCCCACCCCCCCCTCCCCCGGCCTGTACCCCAGTTCTCCTATACATAAATAAATAAAATCTTTTAAAATAAATAAATAAAGGGGCCTCCCTGGTGGCTCAGGGGTTTAAGATGCAACCTATGAAGCTAGCCACAGCCACTGCACCATGAGTTCAATCCCCAGCCAGCCAGGGAGCAACCCACATGTCGCAGCAGACCTCTCCTGACTCGCCCGTTGCTCCCCTCAGCAGTGTATTTCAGTCAATCTGCCTTTTCTGTTCCCCACTCTGTCTCTGGTGAATCCTCTCACCCCGCCACACACACCTATGGCCTGTACCCCAGGTCTTGTATGAATAAATAAATAAATCTTTAAAAAAATAAATAAATACTTTTTTTGGAGGTCTAGCCAAGATACCATGCATTTCGTTTTGTGGTTAATATCTTAATAGAATAGTTTCTCTGCCTTTTCCTCTTTGATAATTGAGTTTTTTGCCAACTCAATTTCTTAAGTGCATCTATACTTCAAATATTACAAAGTTGTACTCTGCCTTCTTCTGAATTACAAAAATCTTGAGTGTTGAGATCATAGAGAGTAACTATGGAACCTTATTTAATATTTAGGAGGCACAGTGTTGATTAGATTGTTTTGCTTATGACGAGGTCTCCATAATCTGACCACATCTAACATTTCTTCGTTTTGAGTGTTGACTCTAATTAATCAATGTTATGAGTACACTGCAGGGCAAGATGAGGTTATACACTAGAGAGAGAAGACAGACTAGGGGGAAAAAGTCTGAATTTACCATTGACTACTTATTTGACTACGTTATGCAAATGAGTAATTTAATCTTCAGTCTGCTTATGAGTGTGCTACATGCCTTACCTACTTTTGTGATAATGAAATGTACAGGTTTTAAGTGTATAGGAGTTTACCTACTTTTTTTTTTAAGGGTGTTGTGAAGTTTAAATAAAAGCAGTTCTTTAATGGAATAATTTTGGTTTTCCAAAAGTACAAAATTTAATCAAATTAACAAAATGGATGTTATGTCAGATTGTAACTTTAAAATGACACCAAGGGCTTCCCTGGTGGCGCAGGGATTAAAGTCTCAGTGCTATCAAGCTATCGCCAGCCACTATTGCTTGAGTTCAATCCCCGGGCAGGGAGCTAACACATAGTGCAGCAGATCTCTCCTGTCTCTCCCACTGTGTATTTTAGTAGATCCACCTATTCTGCTCCCCACTCTGTCTCTGGTGAATCCTCTCACACCCTGCACTTCTGGCCTACACCCCACTTATACTCATAAATAAATAAAATCAATCTTAAAAAAAAAGATGACACCAGTATCTAGGAAGATATAAAGTACATAGAACTTTTGTATTAAAAGAAATGAGAATAATTTCATATATATATATCAATTTGCTACTGACAGTTATAATTAAGAAAGTAGATATTCTATTAGTGGTTCTTATTAACCTTTTCTGAAACATGGCTACCTTTGTAGAAACTGATGAAAGCTAGAATAGATCTCCCTAGAAAAATGCTCTCTGGTCACTTGAAATTTACTGATGTCATAGAAAAAATAGCAAAAGCTATTATATATATATATTTCACTTATAGTTAAGGCATTCAAGACTTCCCTAAATTTTCTACCCCACTTCAAAAATCATTTATCTGGAGGATTAGGTATATCATGTATCTGGACTTGTTTTAGCTAAACAGTCCATCTCCTTTATTGCCATTTCCATTCTCTGTATCTATCCCTCTCCCCACTTCTACCAAAGATCCCACCTTTATATTGACATTATTACTCATATCTGAAGGGCATAACAACTTCTGGATAAGTATAAGGATTCCCTACAATTTAATAGATAATGTGAACTTTATTAGACTTACTCAGTAATTAATGAACTATTTTAATAGATAATGTGAACTTTATTAGACTTACTCAGTAATTAATGAACTATTTTTATCTCCATCTTTTCTGGAGAACTGTTGGCTCTATATCTCAATGCATAAAGCACTCTGATATACAGAGTTTTCTGAAAATGTTGTGCCTTTGTTTTCTGGACCCAAATCATTACACTGTATGCCTAATTTTATTATAGGGTATTTCACAGGAGATATATTCCAATTTGCAAAGGATCTATTTTGTTCTCTAATGTGATGGGAAATCACTGATAATTAAGTATTTGGGAAAATTGTGACAACTACATGAATTTTATTTCTTAACTACTGACATGATAGGTTGTATTTTACCCTCAATTTCTTTTTAGAAATGATGAGATTATTATCAGTAAAATACTTTCTGTCCATAGTAGACATTTATTTTGTGTATTTCAGGTACCTATGGAGTTGTGTATAAGGGTAGGCACAAAACTACAGGCCAAGTGGTAGCAATGAAGAAAATCAGACTAGAAAGTGAAGAGGAAGGGGTTCCTAGTACTGCAATTCGGGAAATTTCCCTATTAAAAGAACTTCGTCATCCAAATATAGTCAGGTATGTTATGATATCTAAATTTAAACTTTTGCACAAACTGTTTCAAAAGTGAATTTCAATATAGTAATTTTTACATTTGCAAATTCTGCCCTAAGCTTATTGAGAGGAATAGATTCCTATTTTTGTTAATTGACAATGCTGGGCACAGAAAAAAAATAGATTGAAGCAGGAACATGGTTCACAAAGCTTGGTAAAAGAGATGAGTATTGGGCCTGGGAAATCAAGGTAAACTGGCCATGGAGAAAAGGCCTTTACACAGAGCTTTGTAACTCCCACTTCCTTAAGGGCCCCTTCTAGTCCTAAGATAGGTAGTTGGCACAGATGAGAAAGTTTTTTCTTTCTTTTCATTTGAACCGAGAGGTTGTCTTCCTTACAGTCAAAGATAGGATTTCGTTGTATTTTTCTGGTGCTGAAGATAATGAGTAACTATTAAGATCAGCTAATACTTTTTTATAATTTATCTCAATGGAAAGACAAGTTCTGAACAACAGGCAGTCAACTTTAAAAATGTTCTTTTGGGGGCACAGAAACATTAATTTCAAAGAGCACCTGCACCCCTATGTTTATAACAGCGCTATTTATAATAGCTAAGCTTTGGAAACAACCCAAATGCCCAAAAACAGATGACTGGATCAAGAAGATGTGGTACATATACACAATGGAATATTACTCAGCAATCAAAAAAGATAAACTCATGCAATTTGCAGCAACATAGATGGAGCTGGAAGGGATCATGCTCAGCTAAATAAACCATGAAGAAAAAGAAAAATACTGGATGGTCTCACTCATAGCAGGAATTTAGAAAACCTAAATAAGGGACCAGGGAAACGATTAATTATAATAAAGTAAAAATAAAAGTAAACAAGCAACTATAGACCTGAGGCATACTACGGGGATGGGGGGTGGTAGGGGGGAGGGATTAGGGCCAAAATAAGGGAGGTGGGAATTGTATGGGGAATATAACCAAGATGAAAATGCATACACTGCGCAAAAATGAAAAATGATGTAAAAAGTATATAAAATAAATAAAGGGGAAGAAAGTGTTCTTTTGGAATAAAAAGTGGTTTGACAGTTATTAGCTCATGTATAATGTGACTTAAGTGTCAGTTGCTGCCTTGAGATTCCTTTCTCAAATTTTAGTTTAGTATACTAAGATTTTGACAACTGGGGAAGCTACCATGTCTTCTTTCCCAAAAACAGCATGTAATTTTTATAGAAAAATTTTTATAACCCACTTTTTGTGATAATTGCTGTGAAAATGGAAGTAGTTTCTTTTTGTGAGAGAGGCGTAGGAAAAAAAATCTTTGCTAGATTATTTTGTTTTTCATGTAATTGTTTTCTTCAGTCTTCAAGATGTGCTTATGCAGGACTCCAGGTTATATCTCATCTTTGAATTTCTTTCCATGGATCTCAAAAAATACTTGGATTCTATCCCTCCTGGTCAGTTCATGGATTCTTCACTTGTTAAGGTAAGAAACATATCTAATTCCATTAATGTTTTTCCACTGTGACTATTATGGATCTACTCTGTTGAAGTCCCTATGTTTTATGGAAATAAGTTTGGGAAAAGAAGTTGGAAAATAGAACAAGGAAGAATATTTCTTTTCATATCACAGTCAGTCATTTTATTACTAGATGTTATTTCAATTGCTCATGGACTGTTTTTAAGAATGTACTGTGTGTTGGGAACTTTCCCAACCCACTCCTCAGAGGTAGTTGTTAGTTGATTAGCGGTCTTACAAGTGCTTTTTTGTTGGCTGTGTCCATTTGTGAACATATTTTATAAAAAAGAATTATTTCTGAATGTGTGTGTTAGGTATATGTGTGTGTGTATACCCCTTTCTCTTTTTCTCTTTAAAACTTGGACAAGTAGGTCTACCTATTTGTCTAAATTTTTGATGAACTTCTTTAAACCAGTTCCATATTGATGAACATTTAGTTGTTTTTGTGCTTGGTGGGTCATTCTTTTAAGAAAGATATTGCAGTGACATAGGTTTACCTTCATATGCTAATTTTTAGAATAAATTCTTATAGCTGGAATTTTCATGGGTTGGAGATGTTTGTTTACTTTTAAAATCTTGATAGGGCTAGTTGCCCTCTAATAATCTTTTAAATATCTTAGCAATCTATTATGTGAGAAGGCATTTTGATTTTTAGGTCTTGTTTCTTTATTCCTAACTCAAAGATCATATGTTTTAGATAATACATGACAGTATTTTTTGGAATAGTTTTAGTTGGTTATCCCTTCCTTGGCCTTTTTGTCTCTTAGATTCAGGATGGACCAGATAATTTTGGTGTAAGAACTGTGGTTAATGTTTTCCCTAAATAGCTAACCAGTTCCAATAGGTAGTTTGTTTGTTTTTTAATGTGTTTTATAACTTTGAACTTTGTATGTTAATTCTGTTAACTATTTTTGTAATATCTTTTTTGCTTCATTACATTGTCTTGGCAATAAGTGCTTTGTAAAATACTTTTCTGAACATATAAACAACTAATATCTTGTTAGTCATTTCTTTGAAATCTGTGACCAATGTTTCCAAAGAGGAAATACATATGTAAACATAAAAGGCAGAGATGAAAAAGACCAACCTTACTCAAGGTAGAAATTAGAAATTGTTCTAAATACATACATACAAATTTAAGAAAGTTTATGTATAGTAAGCTAAATTGTGAGTTAATCATGGCCCCCCAAAATAAGTGTATTCTTTTGAATATAGAAGTTTACATAAGGTAAATGATTACCTTTGTTTTAGGTATAAAAACATGATGGTGTGTGTAAATGGAATTTCCTGCCCCCAAATGCTTCTTGGTGTTCTCAAGTGTCCTGATAGTTAAACATTTCCCTGCATCATCATTTCTTATATTTTTGAAGCAAATCTATCACAAATACTTAGAAAATCATTATATGCTATGGTTACTTTTCTAACATATTTCCTTCTTCCAGAGTTATTTGTACCAAATCCTACAAGGGATTGTGTTTTGTCACTCTAGAAGAGTTCTACACAGAGACTTAAAACCTCAAAATCTATTGATTGATGACAAAGGAACAATTAAATTGGCTGATTTTGGCCTTGCCAGAGCTTTTGGAATACCTATTAGAGTGTATACACATGAGGTATGTATAATAATTTTTTTTAGTGCTTTTGAATATGCTGGATTGCCTTCTGTATTTATTCTTCAAGTCAAGGGAAAAATAACTCAAAAATAATTCCATTCTGTGCCAGTTTCAGCTTACTGCATCTCAGCTTTATTTTTTTTTAAAAAAGATTTATTTATTTATACAAGCACTGGGTACAGTCAGAAGCGCGGGAGGGTGAGAGAATTCACCAGAGCCAGAGCTGATAGCAGAAGAGGCAGAAGGACCAAAGTACACTGCTGAGGGGAGCAGCGGGCAGCAGGAGAGGTCTGCGCGCCATGCGGGACCCTCCTCCAGTGGCCAGGGAGCAGCCGGGGATCTAACTGGCGCTGTAGAGGCTGCGGGCAGCTTTGCAACCCAGCGCTCAACCGCTGTACCACCAGGGAAGCCCGCATCTGAGCTTTAAATTCACCCTTAATTGCTTGCTATTTGAAAATGGAACTGGAACCTTTAGATACTTTTCCTTTGCCATCTTATGTGATATAAAGCTTTGTCAGTAGAAGATGCTAGAGAGGCATTTAGTTTTCATTGTTTCTTATTAATCGATCTCATTCCAATTCCCTGTTAAATAGCTAAATATTTCTTAATATGAAAATATCCCCATTTAAAGCACTACGGTTTCTGTATCCTCTTTGGATCCTCTCTGATACACAAATTGGTTAAAAGACAGATTTTGTTGTTTAAGATATACTGATTCATATTCATTTAGAAAGCACTAAATATAATCATGTGTTATCATTGTTATATTTATTATTTTGCATTTCATTGGTATTTCTGGAAGGAAAGGGAATGTTGAATTGTGTAGTAAAGGATTATTGTGTTTTATGTGGCATTATTTACCCTTACACCCAGACTGTCTCCAGATCAAAATTTACAACCATGCTCATTTGGTTAAATGTGTTGGCTTTTTAAAATTGTTTATTAAGTAATAAATATATTTGGGGCCTCCCTGATGGGGTTAAGTCTCAGTGCTGTTACCGCTGCAGCCTGAGTTCGATCCCCAGCCAGGGAGCCAACCCACATGGCACAGTAGACCTCTCCTGTCTTGCCTGCTGTTCCCCTTAGCAGTATATTTCAGCAGATCCATCCGTTCTGCTCCCCACTCTGTTTCTGGTGAACTTATCACCCCCCCCCTGTACCTCTGGCCTACACCCTAGTTCTTCTTACAAAAAAAAATTTTTAAGAAAAGATAATGAGCTAATCATATATTGTCTAGAGGAAATTAAAATTATATATATTTGTTATTAAATAAAGATTACTTGTTACCCATTGTCTAAAACAGATGCTATTGACTTTATATTAAATGTTACGTTTTATTGTGTGATAAATTATATACTAAAATAAATTATCTCTGGACCACTACTAATAGACTTAAATGATTTATTCATTGCAGTCTTTAGCATTTAAGCAGTACGTGTATTTTGTGTATGTCAGACAAAAACAAACACACTCACTGCCCCTTATCAATGTGCTTTATTTTTAAGTAAAGGCTATCTGAATTTGGGTTCTAAGCCTTTCACTTTAATTGTTTCAACAGCAAGAAAATACTTGGTTTACTTATCTGGTCCTCCCCTCATATGAATAGAACTTAAAAATGAAATATTTATCTTCCATTTGATATTTTGTGTATAGTTGATGTTTAAATAGTAATATCAGAGGCAACCTGATAATAAAAATATAAAAACCTTTTGCACAACAGTGCTAATGAAATAAAAGTATTAATGTGTCACACTTACTCCTTGTGAAAATTTGCTTTGTATTAGGTAGTGACACTCTGGTATAGATCTCCAGAAGTACTGCTGGGGTCAGCTCGCTATTCAACTCCAGTTGATATTTGGAGCATAGGCACCATATTTGCAGAATTAGCAACTAAGAAGCCACTTTTCCACGGGGATTCAGAAATTGATCAACTCTTCAGAATTTTCAGGTATTTTTTGTTTTATATTTAAACATTAAGGACTTTCAAGTTAAATAATAATGGGTCTGTATGTAACAAGATTTTTTAAATATTTATTTATATGTTTCTTTATTTATGCAAGCACTAGGTACAGTCAGAAGCGTGGGAGGGTGAGAGGATTCACCAGAGCTAGAGTGGGGAACAGAACAGGTGGACTGACGAAGTACACTGCTGAGGGGAGCAGCGGGCGTGGCAGGAGGGGTCTGCGCGCCCTGTGGGACCCTCGCCCTGTGGCCAGGAATTGAACCGGTGCTGCAGAGGCTGCAGGCAGCTTTGCAGCCCAGCTCTCAACAGCTGTGCCACCAGGGGAGACCCGTAGCAAGATTATTTTTATATTTTAACAATTTTCAATTTTTTAATGAATTTTAGAGCTTTGGGCACGCCCAATAATGAAGTGTGGCCAGAAGTGGAATCTTTACAAGACTACAAGAATACGTTCCCTAAATGGAAACCAGGAAGCCTAGCATCCCATGTCAAAAACTTGGATGAAAATGGGTTGGATCTGCTCTCGGTAAGGGATGCCCTTCTTACTAACTGACATTACTGATGATTCTGAACATAATTAACTTTTTTTTACTAGAATAGGGAAGAAAAGACAATGTTTATCAAGCAAGACTCATGACTGTTATGTCTCTTATGTTTAATGTATGACTAGTTCCATTAATTTTAATAAAACCAAGAAACATCAGTGATTTGTGAGAGGAAAATTTAGCATTAGTTTTTTTTTGGTTTTAATCTGATAGCTATAGATATTCTGAAAGAGAGACCAGGGTTAATATAACTTTGTTGTTATTTTCAGTTGCTGACTTGTAGTGACCTTTCTTTCTGGCATTTTTATCTCTGTAGTTCTTCCTAGACATAGCTGTTTTCTTTATTGTTTGATGTTTTTGGTGACTAAATCCTTTTACTGCGTGAAATGAACTCTCATTTTTCGCCTTTCTCTCTACATCACAAGAAGAAAGGCTGGTATAGTTCTTAAAATTCCCTTTCTTTTTATTGCTGTTCCCAACTATTTCTTCAAAAATAAGACAACCCCCCCCCCAAAAAAAAAAAAAAATCCCCAAACCCATAAGGATAAAAATAGTCTTAGAGCTGCTTTAGGAAGTTTTTTTTTGTTTTTTTTTGCAACGGTATTTAAAAATTGAGCTTTTAAAAGAACTGATTTTTTTTTTTTAATAATAAATTTTATTTTATATTCCCCATACAATTGCAACCCCCCCATTCTGACCCCAATCCCTCCCCTCCCGCCCCCCAAAAAGAGTCTCTGGTTCATAGTTTTTTGTTGATTTTGATTTTCACTTTCTTATAGTTATTCATTTTCCTGGTCCCTTATTTAAGTGATTTAGATTCCTGCTATGAGTGAGACCATCCGGTATTTTTCTTTTTGGCTTATTTCGCTGAGCATGATCCCTTCCAGTGCCATCCATGTTGCTGCAAATTGCATGTGTTTATCTTTTTTGAATGCTGAGTAATATTCCATGGTTTATATGTACCACATCTTCTTGATCCAGTCATCTATTTTTGGGCATTTGGGATGTTTCCAAAGCTTAGCTATTGTAAATAGTGCTGCTATAAACATAGGGGTGCAGGTGCTCTTTGGAATTGATGTTTCTGTGTCCTTTGGGTAAATACCTAGGAGTGGAATTGCTGGATCCTGTGGAAGCTCTATGTTTAGTAGGTCCAGAAATCTCCACACAGCTCTCCATAGTGGTTGGACCAGTTTGCACTCCCACCAACAGTGCAGGAGAGTTCTAAAAGAGAACTGATTTTGATGACTCACATGATGTGATTCCAGGGGGGGAAAAGGATTTCTCATGTTACTAAACGAAGAAAACAAAGTCTATTGCTATTATCATTATGTAGATCTTACTGGATGTTCAGTTTATAAGTCATTATGCCACCTAATTCAGCTCAGATTTTTCAGCTGCTTACTGTGTGCTCCAAAGTCCTTATCTGCCAGTTAGTTTACAGTCTGCCAGTTGCCATTCAGGTAGTTTATATATAAATATTGTTGGTAAGACTTAAAAGGTCTTTCAATTTATGAGCACAATCTGTCTTTTGACTCCTGTTATACTCAAACAAAGAAGTTCACTTCAGTTAAGGAGACAAAGGTCAAATACTGTTAAGTTAGAGTTTGTTAGTATAGTTACTATTGACATCTGGACTGGATCTTTCAGGAGACTGTCTTGTACATTAAGAGACACTTAATTGCATCTCATTCCTCTACCTTAGAGAGCCTCATATCACATTCCACCCAATTGTGACAACTCAAAAGTCCCAGATACTGCTTAATTGTCCCCTCAGTGGAAAAATCTCGCCCAGTTGAGAACCACTTCTGTAAATCATAAATCTTGTTTCATATTTTAGCCTTACCACTCCTTAACTCTGTGAACTTGAGCAAGTTATTAATCTTTTTGAGCCTCAGTGTTTTCACTTGTAAATTGGGATTAATACCTGTCTTTTATTGTGAGAGATAAGTAATAAGTTCAAAGCACTTAATATAGTGCTACATAGTAAGTGTTCACATGGCAACTGAATATTAAATGTATCTAGTCTGCTTGTTGATTTGGTTTTTTATTGGGTGAGGATGAGATAGTTATGGTTTTCATTAGGATTATTAACTTATGATTGGTAAAAAAGGTAAGATTTAAAAAATTTTTGTTTCACTTCTTAAATAAATTAAAACCCTCTTTTTGTCTTTTCCCTCCAGAAAATGTTAGTCTATGATCCAGCCAAACGAATTTCTGGCAAAATGGCCCTGAATCATCCATATTTTAATGATTTGGACAATCAGATTAAGAAGATATAGTTTTCTGACAAAGAGTTTCCACATGTTGTATCAAGAGCAGACAGTTACATTTTTACTGTTAACTCTATTTTTGTCTTGTGTATTTTTCTTTTCTTTGTTGTAAAACTTAACTACTTCATCTTCTAATTTCAAAAGTATAACTTAAATATGTAAATATTGTTCTATATGAATTTAAATATAATCTGTATATGTGTGTAGATCTCACTGAAACAACTATTTGTTACTATAATAAAACTATAAATCTATTAGTGTCAAGAATTGGGAAAAATTGTTAGCTTAAATCATTTCAAGCCCATATAGCAGTTTGGTTTTCCTATAGTTGGAACCACTAAAATTTAGGAAAATATGCTAAGTTTTTATGCTCTGACTCCTTAAATTTTCTTGTCATTTCTTGCCCTAAGGATTTATATTTTTCTACTGATACTTCAATTTGTGACCTTAATATTTAAGCATGCAGGATAAAAAAACTATCCAAATTTCAGAAAAAATGCTAAATTTATAGAGGTTTTCAGAAATTTACAACACTAATATTAAAGCACGCCAAGGTTTGCTAAAGTTTACAGTCAAAATAAAGGATTGTCCAGAGCAGAGAATATCAGTTCAGAAAATTTATGAACCATCTTATTTTTAGGTTGGGTATAAAAGCTATTTGTCTTTGTGAATTCTTAAGCCTTGATCAAAAATAATAACAAAGGAATTGCTTATCTTGGCTTTCAATTCTGACTAAAAACACTATGTGCAATTTTTGGCATGATGTTGTTTATTAGCAGTTTTCTTAGAAGGTTCTAATGTATAAGTATTTACCTAAAATCACTAGCTTTGGGAATTAAATTGTTTAATGAATAATGCTGCTCTTTGTGATTCTTACCTATGTGAAGCCTGAGTTGTTATAATCAAGAGAAATATATGTAAAAATAGTTTTATCATTTTTAGTGTACATCTGTGCTATGACCATAGACCCTCTGTTTTTCCTCCTGTTACTTGTGACTAAAACAGGCATCCTTGTGTTACTCTTTTTTTTTTTTTTTTAAGTATTTATTTATGCATAAAAGAGCTGGGGTACAGGCCGGAGATGCAAAGGGTGAGAGGATTCACCAGGGACAGAGTGGGGAACAGAACAGGCAGACTGAACGAAGCACACTGCTAAGGGGAGCAGCGAGTGAGGCAGGAAAGGTCTGCTGTACCATGTGTATTGCTCCCTGGCCTGCCGGGGAGCTGGCGAGGCTGCGGACTGCTTCATAGGCTGCGCCACCAGGGAGGCCCCTGTTATTGATTCTTATACCCAATTTGTTTGGTTATATACTGACTGGTCTACATAATCTGTTATCTTGGATTTTTTGCACTCTGTAAGAGAAAGTATAGTCACTGTTTGACAGTGAGACTTTGTGAGACGAGAGTTTGGTGGACTTGTTCTAGATCCTTTCGTGGAAGCCATCAATAGTAACACAGTGTTCGAAGAAGTTCTTTGGGGTCGTATTGTGGAGAGTTATTAAGATTTCTTGGAGGGAATAATATAAATGATAGGGGATAATAGATTTAATTGATGAATGGCTTTTTTAAAAATTTATTAAAAGATTTATTTATTTATACAAGCACTGTACCCAGTCAGAAGCGTGGGAGAGTGAGAGAGAATTCACTAGAGCCAGAGAGGGGAACAGAACAGGCAGACTGACAAAGTACACTGCTTGAGGGGAGCAGCGGGCATGGCAGGAGAGGTCTGTGAGCCAGGTGGGACCCTTGCCCAGCGGCCCGGGATCTAACTGGCGCTGCAGAGGCTGCGGGCAGCTTCGCAACCCATCGCTCAACCGCTGAGGCACTGGGGAGACCCCAGATTTAATTGAGATGATGAAATTTCATCTTTAGACATGTATTTTTTCAATTGAAGTTAAGTATTGGTCTGAAATCTGTCTTTCAGATGATGAATTGCAACCCTTTATTGATTCAGAACTATCATTTAATCACTTGTCTCTCTCATCCTTCCACTTAGAATAGAAATTACCTGTGTATTTTACATATAGTTCTAGCAATATATACATGTATGGATATTACCAATGTTTGAGGCTTTGTGATTTTGAAAGAAGCACTTACAATATTTGAAAAGTTAACAATTTATCAGTTTAGAAGCTAACTGATGAACCAGGGAAATGAGGTGGTAGAGCACTCAATTGCTATACTGAGTGAATGAGTGACCTGCTTTTCATACTGCTTCACATTTTGTGTAGTCCTGTATAAAGCGTTAGTGTCAGTGACTGGATGAAAAACCATTGAGTTGGGTCTTTTTCTCTTGCATATTTTTAAATTGGCTTGTGCCAATTGTGCTGCATCCGATCAATTTTAAAACAGACATGTCTGTGTGCCATTAGTTTTTTTTTTTTTTTTTTTAAGATTTATTTATTTATTTATTTATACAAGCACTGGATACAGTTAGAAGCGCGGGAGGGTGAGAGAATTCACCAGAGCCAGAGCAGAGAGTAGAACAGGCAGAGTGATGAAGTACACTGCTGAGGGGAGCAGCGGGCGGCAGGAAAGGTCTGTGCACCATGTGGGTCCCTCACCCGGCTGCTGGGGATCGAACCGATGCTGCAGAGGCTGCAGGCAGCTTCACAACCCAGCGTTCCACCGCTGCGCCACCAGGGAGGCCCACCATTAGTTTTTATTTTTATTTTTTTTTTTAAATAATAAATTTTATTTTTATATTCCCCATACAATTGCAACCCCCCCATTCTGACCCCAATCCCTCCCCTCCCGCCCCCGCCCCCCAAAAGAGTCTCTGGTTCATAGTTTTTTGTTGATTTTGATTTTCACTTTCTTATAGTTATTCATTTTCCTGGTCCCTTATTTAAGTTTTCTAGATTCCTGCTATGAGTGAGACCATCCGGTATTTTTCTTTTTCTTTTTGGCTTATTTCGCTGAGCATGATCCCTTCCAGTGCCATCCATGTTGCTGCAAATTGCATGTGTTTATCTTTTTTGAATGCTGAGTAATATTCCATGGTTTATATGTACCACATCTTCTTGATCCAGTCATCTATTTGTGGGCATTTGGGCTGTTTCCAAAGCTTAGCTATTGTAAATAGTGCTGCTATAAACATAGGGGTGCAGGTGCTCTTTGGAATTGATGTTTCTGTGTCCTTTGGGTAAATACCTAGGAGTGGAATTGCTGGATCCTGTGGAAGCTCTATGTTTAGTAGGTCCAGAAATCTCCACACAGCTCTCCATAGTGGTTGGACCAGTTTGCACTCCCACCAACAGTGCAGAAGAGTTCCTTTTTCTCCACACCCTCCCCAACATTTGTTGTGCTAGTTTTTTTATATGCGCCATTCTCACTGGTGTAAGATGGTATCTCATGGTAGTTTTGATTTGCATTTCCCTGATTACAAGTGATGTTGAACATTTTTTCATATGCCTGTTGGCCATTTGCATTTCCTCTTCAGAGAAGTTTCTTTTTAGCTCTTCTGCCCATTTTTTGACAGGATTATTTTCTTTGTGTTGAGTCTCAGCTCTTTGCAGATTTTTGTGATCAGTCCTTTATCATTAGTGTTGGGTGCAAAAATGTTCTCCCAGTTGGTGGGGTTTCTCTTTGTTTTTGTTATTGTCTCTTTTGCTGTGCAGAAGCTCTTTAATTTGATGTAGTCCCAGCTGTTTATCTTTGCCTTCACTATCACTGCTTTGGGTGATGTGTCTGTAAAGATGTCTTTGATGTGCAAATCACGTAGTGTTTCGCCTATATGTCCTTCTATATATTTTATGGTTTCAGGTCTTATGTCTAGTTCTTTAATCCATTTTGAGTTGATTTTTGTGTATGGTGTGAGGTAGTGGTCAAGCTTCATTCTTTTGCATGTAGCAACCCAGTTTTCCCAGAAGCATTTATTGAACAAACTTTCTTTGCTCCAATGCATAGTCTTTGCTCCTTTGTCAAAGATTAGTTGACCATAAATCTGAGGGTTTATTTCTGGATTTTCTATTCGATTCCATTGGTCTGTATGTCTGTTCTTGTTCCAATACCATGCAGTTTTGATGATTATGGCTTTGTAGTATAGTTTGAAGTCTGGGAGTGTGATGCCTCCATTCCCTTCTTTTTTTTCAGGATAGCTTTGGCTATTCGGGGTTTTTTGTGATTCCATATGAATTTCATCAATAATTGTTCTATTTCTTTGAAGAATGACATTGAAATTTTGATTGGAATAGCATTATATCTATATATTGCTTTTGGTAGGATGGCCATTTTAATAATGTTTATTCTTCCAATCCATGAGCAGGGGATGTCTTTCCATTTCTTTGTGTCTTCTTCTATTTCTTTTAACAGTGTTTTATAGTTTTCTTTGTATAGGTCTTTTACCTCTTTTGTTAGATTTATTCCCAAATATTTGATTTTTTTTGTTTCAATAATAAAAGGGATGGTTTTTTTGATTTCTTCTTCAGATTCATTGTTTGTGTATAGGAAGGCTACTGACTTTTGCGTGTTGATTTTGTATCCTGCCACTTTGCTGAACTAATTGATTAGTTGAATTAGTTTTTCTGTGGTGTTTTTGGGGTTCTCTATGTATATTATCATATCATCTGCAAATAGTGATAGTTTGACTTCTTCTTTTCCTATTTGGATTCCTTGTATGTCTTTCTCTTGTCTTATTGCTCTGGCTAGGACTTCCAGTATTATATTGAAAAGCAGTCCACCATTAGTTTTTAAATCTGTTGTGCGTTAGATATACTGGGGCCTCACTCTGGTCCTACCCTTGATCAATTTTGGATTGTATCCCAGGAAACTTATACAGCCAGTTATCAACTGTTGGTGAGTTTAATAACTTTAGACTTAGATTTACTTTCAGTTGTATTAAAAGTTCATAGCATTGTGCAGTATCTTTAAATTGTTCAATTTCTGTGAGAGTAGAAGGCTGTATATTTCATCATCAATTTGATAGTTTCATCTACTTGAGCATAGCGCTGTGACAATTGCTGTAAACATTGTCCTAATCTTGAGGATTTTTTAAAATTAAATACATAAACAGTAATAATACAGACATCTATACATAATTTACAGTAAAATCTTATTTATGGGGACATGACATATGAATTAAATGTTTTGAAAAAGTAATAGTGTTTTAGAGTTGAGTTAATGACCCAATAGAAACTTTGTGGCCTGTATAAAAATGCTAAAATAGTTTTTAATTAGTAAAATACTAATTTTTCTAGTGTT